GTTACCTACTGCAGGCTTACAGTATCATAGTTCAATATTTATTTGATTATAGCTATAGGTACCTGTACATAGATATAATATATAGTTACTCTTACATAAAATATATGATGCAACGATTATTATTTATATTATAGAATAATATACCTAGTTATACAAAACACCTAAAAAGTGGATTATTGTTGTTTTACGTATTACCTTTTGTTTTACTGTTTTAGTGTCCATATATTATGACTATATTCTATACTTATACACTTATACAGTTATACTTATATGAGTATCAGGATATGATTCTATATATTTTGACGTAATTAAACCTATACATATTTTTTTGTAATAAATGCATTAACATTATGCAACATGGTTTAATGCAGCAGGTAAAACTGTAAAAGTATAAAACCTATAGGTGTTCTAAATATTTCTATAGTCCATCATAAAATAAATGGTTATAATGGTATAATATTATTATTACTCTTTATGGTTACGATAATCGATGTAGTTAGTTATTGATTAATTTATAAGTAAATATTATAATGCAAGTTTACATAAGTTGTTTACATGGGTAGTTTTTTGAGCAGTTATTATATGTGCCTATATTTTAAGCTACTGGCTTTAATGACTATTGCCTGTTAAGTACGAGATACGAGTTCTGTGTTTTGTTGATTTTGCAATTGTTCAGAATTTCTGTACTGTATTATTTACTTGAATCTTAAGATATATGCATATTATTTATATTAAGTTAAGCAAATAAAGGTAAATAGGGGCATGAAAAGGGGCAAGTGTGACGTTTTAAAATTAAAATTAAAAAAAAAAATTATTCTTAGGTGAGTGATAATATAACTTTGTTGACTATAAATTCCAATTATGTATATCTAGAGGTGTTACATTATGGAACAATAACAACTTTCAGTTAAAAACAAAAAAAGTATTGTCAAATTCAAAATTAACTTTTCATTTTTGCGTCACACTTACCCCACTTTACCTTACCTACTTGAGTAAACGGAGACAACACATTCGAGTGCGATTCCTCCTGATGAAACCTCGCTCAGCACAGAATTATTGGCGTAGTGTGAGTTTCAGTTAAACCTTTGAGTGGAAAATCGTAGGCTAATAAGTAATAAATTCATAAGGACTGGTTATTTTATTAATTTACATTTATTTTAACAACTACATAAAATCATCAATTAAAAATAAATTAATTCATCAAAATGTTTGAATAAAATAATAAATTGTTAAATATCTAAGTACGCGACCGCTGCAGGCAGAATAATGCAATATACGACGGTAGACCACGGTATTCGTATTAAGATGATAATTAAAAATCACGGGGCCCTTTAACAAGCGCGGGGCCCTGGACAAATGTCCCATTTGTCCTCCCCTAGCGCCGGCACTGTGACAGACTAGAGTAGGTACCTACTGACGTCCAATGAATTAGGAATTTGTCTTAGGACGGAATTAACATTTTTTTTACACACAAAATACAAAACACTAAATACTAAATAAATAAAATAAATATAATAAATACTGAATTTTCAAGTACAGTGGTGAATGGTAGCTGTAAATACTATTCTATCAAAAATCCTAAAACTAATATATTATTATACATATACTTATTGAATTTTGCTTTAAAATTCTACACAATTTACTATTTAGTTCAATTATGCAATATTATATATATATTTTTTTTGATCTTAACTTGATCTATTCTATGATCTTAAGCCCGGCATCTATGGCCATTAGCTATTTTTGGTTTTGTAGGTTTTTATGTCGGTAGGGGGACACGTGTGTGTTGGGTTTGGCAGAATTTTTGATTGGGCACCCGTAGGTATCTGCCATACCTGGGTGGGGGATGGCGGCACTTGTTCTCCGCACACCGTGACTTGCCCGAAGAAAAATGCCACCCATGACCGAGGTATCGCAGCCGACGCCTTAGACCGCTCGGCCACTCCATTCCCCTTCAATATTATAATAAATTCTTCAAAATGTAAATATTGTATATATTAGGATTAAATAATAATTATTAAAATATTAAATTAATTTTGTTTGTAATATATAATATAATGTAATTAAGTACCTATATTAAAAATGAAAAGAAACTCTAAGTTTCTTGATATATAAATTATAAAGGCTCTTGGGGGGATCTATCTAAATTACGTCGTTATAGGTATATTAGGTAAACTATAGGTAACTGTTATTACTAATTAATTACTATAGGTTATTATACTATAGGTAAATGTTAATAACGGCTTTTAATGTTATATGGAATAATATTATTATGTAATATAGGTAGGTAAACGATTTATTTTTAGTAAAAGTAATTACAAATAGCAATATGAATACCTATATAGGCTACAATATGTTTATGTACAATAAAACACTATAGACCGTATAGTGACATGTACATGAACATATACGTTTTGTATGAGAGGGGATTAATGGAAAATAATTTAAAAAACCTAACCTCTAAATAATATTATTATGTACAACAGTTAAGTGGTTTAAGGTGTTTGTAATACCCTATAAAAAAAAGTCATTTATGTACGAAAAAATAACTTAATAGTTAATCCCCCCCCCCCAATCCACATCAAGTATTATGGACTCGTGTTGGACAGGGCGAAAATTCTGTCATGCCATTGTGACAGCAACTATCACAATAATTTATAGGTACCTACTCCTCATTATGGCAGTATTTTTATACTATCATGATATTAGTTGTTACGATTGTAACTATCATCAGTGACATATAAAAAGTTTGCAGTAAATAAATCCTAAGTCTAAAAAGTTCGGGGTAAAAATTCTGATGTAAAAAAGTCCGGCTTATATGTATACATAACAATATTTTAAATAATTTATTTGAAAAAAATTCAACGATTATAATTACTTAGTATTATTAGTCATTAAATATTATATTCAAAAATAGAAATTATTTTTTCAGACAAAAAAAATACATAATAACTAATAAGTAATAAATTATAATGATTTCTCAGTTTAATTAAGTATAAACTATCGTCATTCAAAATATAATATATTTAAAATATCACAAAATAAGTTCTAATATTTTCTAAAAATTCTTTAATTGTAATTGAATGATAATCTATTTTTTGGCATAACGTAACCCATGGATATGTGTTAAATTTTGTGTTTTTTACCAACTCACCCATAATGTTGAATTGTTGATAGATAATTTCGCCTTATCTGCCGCTGCTTCCAATCTCATTTTGGGATTAGTGTCCAAATAGTCGGATGACTGTGGTCTGTGGCCAACTAAATGACTAAATGTGTTATTCAACGATTCGCATATATTATTCGTTCTGTGGTTACCATTAATCGTTTTTTTATGTACATTCCAAGTATCCACACTCGGAGGAAAAAGTGGACTTATATTTTTAAATTTGTTACCAACCCCTATTTTTCTAAAAAGTCCATTTAGAGTATAATATTACCTACTTTATACTTGATCAAATGTTTATAATGCCGCTCATAGGTGTGTGCAAGCTGGTTTCGAGGATAATATAATATATGAGATTATAGGTAGGTATACCTATAATCCAGCCATTTAAAAAATAGGGGTTTTTTAAAGGTCGTGCGGTTTTATAGTACATTATTACATGCTAGTTATAAACGAAAAATGTGAAATTTAGTCTTTTAAATTTGTGGGGAGGTTCTGAGGGCTGCTGTAGAAATACTGCACAGATTTTCTAAAAGGTATATAAAATTTGTTTTTAATTATAATGTATATTGTATAATGTTGTGTACATAATTTGCACAAATATAATTTTGCATGGAGGTAAAATGTATCATTACTTGGCTGCCGGGGCTGTCCAAAAAAATATTCAGGGGCAGCATATTATGCTGCATCTGCTGCCCCTGTACCTACGCAAGTCTATGTTGTTGCTATGTATCATATATTTTTATATATTATATTATTATTATTAAGTGTACAATATCTATAAATAAATAGAACTAAATTGTTTAATGAATATGAACAATATAATATGATATATATTTTACTGACACCCCCGGACCCCAATATTGACTTTTCTGACCAAGTACATATTAGTTAGGTATTTTGTTTGTTATTTGTTTGATAAGTTTGCAAAATTTGTTCTACGTTCTTACAGAACTTAATCACATTTTCGTATCAAAGGGTTGTATACATTTTTACCCAATCAAAAATTGTAATTTTAACTTTTTCTATGCTATTATTTGGAACGCTATTGTTTGAGTTAGATTGAGTTTTTCACACTTTTTTTGATTCGAAAAAAAGGATGCCGGGAAGATCTGGCCCATACAATATCCCCCTTGTATACAACACTGGAGTCTGAACACTACATTTTTAAAAATATAGGTTGATAGACCGTCTTCGCACAGAGTAGTAATAATGATTATTATTTATCAATTAATTCAAACTTATCACATCCATTAGTCATCAATAATCAATATTATTATACATTGACCTACACAATGACTAGTTGGTAGTCGAAGGTACACTCAAGTACTCAACTATTGACAACTACCGTACAGTAGAGCGAGTTCCGCGGGTTTTTAAACTTTTTTTCGTATTTAAATCAGTAAAGTAGCCATGTTGTATTATGATTGTATTATATTATATCTTGATTCTGTGTGTTTTTGTTTCTTTTTATTCAGATAACCTTGGTTGATTAAAATCTAAGAAAAAACATATGTGTATGAGTAAACATGACTAATATAATTGATAAGAAAAAAATTGTAATAATGATGTCATAAACTTTTACACTCATGATTGACGAGTAAACGTATTTTAAAGTCATTCTATTATGTTATTTAATTTTATTCAGACGTTCTGACGTTCAGTTTACAATCTAATTACCCCCGAATATGTATATATTGGGTGATACGTCATTGTTTTTTTCTATGGTGTTACAAATAATAAAATGAAACTCATAAATTAGATGAAATAAATACTAATAGTTTAACTATATGTCTATATTCTACAATTATTGCTTATGTTTTAACTTTTAACAATGTCCAATTTAAATGATGAACCTGGAACTGCAGCGTCTGATAATGGTAATCTCCAATAAGTTTGTCTGTATATATTGTCAAATGTCTTTACGTTCACAAATCGGAAACAGATAGTAGAGCGGCCGTGCCAGTTGCTAGTCGTCGTATGAGCCTTGCGGCTGATCTTATGATGCACATAGAGCGTAGAGCAGCTGAAGGTTCAGCCATGTTTCGAAGCAACGTGCACAACGTAGTTGAAGAACTGCGACCAATAATTACAGTGGCACGCCACCCCGACCCTGGGTCACCACAACCACTTGGTCCCAGTTCATCTGTGCGCCTGAGTTTGCCTACCTGGTTGAATTTAAACACCAACAATGCTCACTTACCTCTATCTCCTCCCAGTATAACAGAAACAGAAGACCAAAACTTTATAACTGCAGGTATCATCAGTATAATATTGACTTATTAAGAATTATTATCTAAAATTAGAATTTATTCTATTGAATTTTATAGGAGAGGTTAGACCGGTTGCAACAACTCCAATATCACAAAGACTGCCTTTGACTACTCAAAGATCACTTACTGAACCAAACAATGATGTAGCAATAGATATGAATTTATCAAGCTCAGATTTAAACGTTGAACAGCTGCCTCAAAGTCCAGGAGGATCTTCACTTAATGGATCTAATAATAATAACAATGAAAATCGTAAGTTACCTAACCTACTTAATATTAGTATATTCAATATTGTTTTGTTAATTTTTAATAACAACCCGATAAACTACCTGCGGGCAAAAATGTTTTCTTAACTATCCCTAATTATTTAGTATTTTTTTTTTATACTAAGTATTTACATCCATAATATTTTTATGATAATTACTACTCTAAATTGTATTTATTTTGTCATTGACATTTAGTAAATTTATCATTAAAAAAAAATAATTAACATGAACATTTGCACTCTACCGAGACTCTACAATCACTATTCTTCACAGAACCTTTGTAATTGGAATCTATTCTGTTAATAAAGAATTATTATTAATATTAAACTAAATAAGTACCTATGTGATTAAAAAAACATTTCATTTTTATATTAATTTGAATTATTTTTTATATTTTATTTTGTTTCTACAATATTTATTAACTTTTTAAGTACTTAAATGCTTAAATATTTCCAAATTCTTTATAGAATACTTATGTAAATATTTAAAATGAGAAATAATAAATATTTATAAATACAAAATTGTACAATAAAAACAGCATGCTTTCAGATGTAGACAATGTAGTAAATATTACCTATTGAAATAAAAATATAAAACTTATTTTTAAGTATTGTCATTTAAATTTATTTGTAATTAATTATTTGTTGTTACACATTATACAACCTATACATCATAATATTATAAAGATTATATTTTAGCAGTTGTATAGGTACTCTATTACTATTTTTTTACATTTATAATTGTATACATGATTAAAATATTTCCAGTAGACTTTTTTTAAATAATATTGAACTTAATAGTTAACATGATTACATGAATAATATTTCATTAAAAATTATTTAGTTTAAACCCTAATTTTTCTGAAGAAACTTTAAATTTAGTAATAACATAATTTTAGTACCCACTTATATTTCATTAACATTGAATTGTATGGTTTTCCAGAAAGCGAAGACGATGTTCTTCGGCACAACCCAGAAATCGCTCAAATGCTGAGTGTAGCTCTTAAATACATTCCATTCTTATTGATACTTTTATCAAAAGCTGTATTCGACCATATTCCAGGTAAATTAAACAGCTACTCTGTTCAACTGTTTGTGTAAGCATAACTAAAAAGATATATGGCCTGAAGGTTCGACTAACGAACGTGCTTGTATGTATCTTGTGATTACAGCTATTCTGCTCTTTTTGGTGCTCTTTATTTCATTTCGTTACTTCAACAATGTGGTAAAGCGTGAGGTGGCCAAACAATCACAGCGCAGTATTGGCTTTTTGCTGTTTGCTATTTGTCATATGGCCATGTCTGTATTTCTATTCTACTTCTTCTACAACGACATGAACTTACACTTTGGGTAATTATAATTCATATAAAAACTAAATCTTAATTAGTAATTCATTATTAGGATTTAGGAAACTCAATGTTTATAGTAAAATTTATATATCATGTTTATATTTCTAGATTAATATTTATTCCTCCTTACACACAGTCCTTGACAATTAGCAATCTATTATGGTCAATAGCAGTGGATGATTACATTTTAAAATTAATAACAATCATTTTTAAAATAATAATTATCATGATGCCAATAAAAGTTTTACCAATCATTAAACGAGTACGTACATTTTTATATTATTAGTCAAATAGGTAAATTATTACTATTTTAAATAAATAAATTTATTCTTATACTTTTGTTTAGGGAAAAGTATACCTGTTCATTGAAGCTACATCTCAATTATATCGGTGTTGTGTGCCGATCCAACCTTGGTTGTATTACATGTTAGAATCTTATCAGGGTCCAAAAAAGGTAATTGGAGTCTTTTTATCTGCCGCTTACATGGTGTCAAAAGGTACCGATTTAATGGGTTGTGTGAAACTATGGTGGACAGCCTCATACAAATTACTTCAGAATGTTGTAAGTTAATTAATATGGTTATATCATTATTTTGATGATTTTGGTTACATTCTAAATAACTAATTATTATTTATACTGAAACCAAGCTCTTACAAATTATTATAAAGTCAATATATTCAAGTTGTAAATGTTTCGTTCAGTCATACAAACTAAGTATTCAAAATTTTAATGTTTTTATAGTGCATAATCTTATAGATAGTATAGAAATAAAAAGTATCAATTACTTTTTATTTTTCTCTTGAGACTATCTAGACAATTTAGTACTTATCCTTATTAAAAATAATTAGTGTTTGTTGGAAAATAGCAATTTTGCGAATTTGCAATGATTACTTTGCCTATTGTATTTTATAAAGTGGTAGGAAGAAAATACATGATGATTCAAATATTTTACATTATCCAACTAAATATTATTTTAAAAATATGTATAGGTAAATTTAATTTGTATTTCCTATTAATCAGTAATGCTGTTTATTAAGGGGATGTTAACACAAAATTAGTTTTCTCTCTATCACATGTGCAACATTGATTAAATTAATTCTCGTACAATTTTTTTGTTTATGTTAGACAGAGAAAACAAACATCCTCTTAAGTTAACTTACCTAACAAAATCTTATTGTAAATTTTAGGCATTGGGAACAGCACCGAGTAAAGAGCAGCTGACTATAGCTGGCAACAATTGTCCAATATGCCATGACGAGTATGCTACACCTGTTTTGTTGCAATGCCAACACATATTCTGTGAAGCTTGCGTAGCCAAATGGTTTGATCGCGAGCAAACATGTCCACTTTGTCGGGCAAAACTCGTCGATGACCCTGCTTGGCGAGATGGTTCTACGACTAATTTTATACAACTCTTTTAACATTTAATGCGATACCCTATAACCAATTAAACCGCTTTTTATGTTGTTCTTTCTCCTCTTATTTATTGTTTTATAATTATTTTTCTCAATACCTACCAATTGTTTATACTTTATAGGAGATAATTTAGTAATTAAATTTTTCTACTTTATTTTATTTTTAACGCATAAAAATATTTGTCTGTGATAGATGTCCATTATGATTTAAAGATATAAATGTGTATTTGTTAAGCTATTTAAATATCATTATAGAAATGTTTGTTAATTTTATTGACTAATTATAGCTATAATTATGTTTGAAACAAATTAAAAATGTGAAAAAATTTTGGTGGTTAGACAATGATTTACCAGTTCATATATATATATAATATCGTGTATTTTTTGTTTGTGGTATGAGCTTGTTGCAAAATAATATGCTTCAGAAACTTAACATATAGTATTGGTCTCAAATAACCACAAAAAACTTTACAGTTTATGTTTGTAAAAACAAAATGTATTCTTTATTTATTATTGTGTTATTCGTTGTTAAGAATTCGGATAAATAAAAATGTTTTAATTTTGTTAATTTTCTCAATGTAAATATTAAATAAACGCTGAATAATATACAACTCGGCAGCATATAATATAACTAAAGATAGTGGACAGTAGGTGTTGATAGTATATTAATTGTTTATTATAATATTATGGCCTATGGGGCCCGCCTACCATTACATTTTAAGGACCATCTTATAGATTTGACCATTGGCTTTATTGTTGTGTTAATTGTATTTCATTTAATGATATAAGTGATCAACATAAAAATATTCCACTATTCTCATTAATTTTTAGATGAATGTATTAATTTTACAATACTGTGAGTTCTTTTTTTTGTTTGACATCACCTTTAGGGACAGTACAAATACTTCAATTTTCTTCAGCAGCATATTTTCTGGTAGGAAAGTGAATCCAACAAACGAAAAATTAAGGAAAAACTGAGATTCTTATGCAAAATATTGATTTCGAAAATAAAATCCATCAACCCCAAGCCTCGTAACTTTGTCTGGTTAGGTAATTGGTCTTTTAGATGCTTAAAACACGTTGTGTTAATTTTGATCACAATAATATCATACCATTAGTAAGTGTCATACCTTCGTACTTAGTAATATTATTGACCGTCTTCGCTCAGAATCGTTTTTCGTATACAATGATAATTGTATTCAAATTTAACCCATCTATTACAGCGATTCTCTTGAGACCTAATTCAGCAACTTGTCACCTATAATTGAACAGCAGAGTGTTACCCGCTTTTTGTAATTGTTGGTGGTGGTTGTGATGACAATTGACAACTACATGCGACCTTAGACCTTATACTATTATGGTATAAGACGCCTTTTCATTAATCGTGATAAGTGATAGGTAACACATTTACATTATATTTTCTTTATCGTGTTGATTAATGATTATGTTAAGTAATTTAGTAATACTTAACACCCTTTAACACACTGCAGCGGTGGCTTTACTATTGTCTTGGCTTTACCGCCACGATGAAATGTGTCATGCAGCAATTCACCGCCACCGCTGCAGTGTGTGGGGACCTTAATGAGATTAGGAAAAAGTTTGGAAGTAATTGGCCCAAAAGCTGAACTTTTGAATTCATTATTACTTATTAGCAGTAGTGGCTCTATGGAGGTATACATATTTGAATCACGTAATTCACAAAAATATTAATGGGTGGATGAACTATGGTTGGAAAAAAAGGTAGTTTAAACAAATATTAAAGGCTAACAACTTATGAATTCACTATTTGGAGGGAGGGTAATGAAAAAATGTTTAGGGTAGATGGTATGAAAATATTAAAAGTGAGTCGAGGAATAAAAGTTCAAGTCGCCAATGCTCATTACTTAATAGTCCAAAACCTTGTCCAAAAAACATCTGATAAGTCCTGACTCCTGATGCCTACCTCTGGTAACCCCTAATCCCAAAATATGGGTATTTAGTGGTATTGGAATACATAACTCGCTAACTGCTGAATGTACGATGAAAATGCATAAATCCAAGATCAAAGGCCGTAAATTCGTTAAAATGTTAAATCCAGCAAATGAATTTAATATAATTTAAATGTTCACAGGATACAATCAAGTACTACCCAGCATTATGGCGCAACTGGTCCGGAGTCCGGACGAAAATGGCAGTATCATCAGCTTCCGTCGACGTCGATGTCCTTTTTAGTTTTAAGATGTACACATGACGTTCGCTTTTGTCGAGAGATGGCGCTGCTGTATACTTGTATTTTCGTTTTCATTTCGAGCCACTCGTGCCGATGTTTTTTTTTTGGATTCAATAGTTTAGGGCGGCGGAAGGCTTATCCAAACGCGTCAATATTAGTTTAGGAATCGGGCCTGGTCCATCATGTTATTCGATTGCTGGTATTTGGTAATATCGTTTCTCCAGACTATAGTGAGTATCTGAATTCTGAGTATCATAATATACAGTTATACATAATCAGTGGCGTCCGCAGGATTTTTCAATGGGGGGGGGGGGGCTTGAAAATTAGTTACAATTTATTTACATTTTATTTTGTCCAGTCTAATAATTTCAGAAGTTTATTTGAGGTATTTTAAAATTTTTGTAACTTTTCAACTTTTCTGGTAAAAAAATGCTCTGATCATAAGCGTCGATGCCCAGTGTATGTTTTTGGAAGCAAATTGGATCTAGTTGGTACTTTTAGGAGGTCGAAATTGAAAATGCTCAGTACTTTTAAAAATAATTGGAGAAAAAAAAATGAAAATTTATTTAAATGTTTGGTTATACAGTCTTAAAGTTCAAATTTCGCCAAAACCACAGTTCATTTGTAGTTAAAAACTTATAAAATATAGTATATACAATATGTATAGCTAAGGCTAGACAATTTAATACAAGGTCTTTCATACAAGTAGTTCATACTTTTACTGAAAAATTACAGATAATTTGTGAAAATTGGTATGCAAATACAATGTTTTTTCAAAAATGAATTCATTCTGGTAAGACATATATGAAATGTACGTTTTGCTTACTATAGTTGGACAGTTTAACTTGATTAATATTATTTTGAAAAAGTAATAATAATAAGGGCAATGGGGGGGCTTCAGCCCTTTGCCCCCCCCCCTGCGGACGCCACTGTACATAATGAATTAATGTATGTTTTGTTATTATAGGTAAATACTAAATATTTTATTTATTTTAATAACATTCAACAGTTTTGGCAATTATGGATAAACACCTTCTCCCCTCTTTTAGTTTCCTTGGTAAATGGAGTGGGATGCAGGGTGACAAAGCTGGTTTTAAAATATTTTGTTGTTACAAACATGTACGAATATTAAAATCATGCGGGACCGGAAGCAAGGTTAGTTTAGTCCACTAAAAAATATCTGATGTACAAGTACCGTATTTAGATATTTCGTGTCGTTCTGAATTTCTGATGCTGTGATGCATCCCCTAGTACTTACTACCTATACCTATAATTGTATGAAAACGAATATCATAATATATACCTATTTTATTTAAATCTATTACACCTATGACCTATCCAGGATAATGGTTTTCAAATTCAAATAATAGATTATAAAACGATAGGTATTGGTATTAGGAAACATATTCATTTTGTGATTCCTTTTCCTATTTTTAATTTTCTTATTTTATAGAGCCTGAAAGAAGCGATGAAGTATTGATTTTATAATGATGTGTGATTTTAAAATTTATTTTTGTGTTTGAAGTTACTTTTTCTACTAGATAAATTACTTTGATTTTCAACTTAAGGGTGGTTTCTGGTAGCGTTTAATAATAATTAATAATAATAACAATATTAATTCCGGCTGATACAAAAACTACAAACATTTTGTTACAATGTGCAGCTAAGTATTATAGTGTTTAAAATATATATATAGCATTCGTCCCTGAATTGTCACAGAACTATTTCAGTACCTATATATTGTTACAACGAGCACTACCTATATACGAATAGTATTTATTCTATATTCTAAAACTTACAACGTACTTTTCTTATAATATTATACTTAAGTATTTATTTATATTTTATGGAGGGGGTTTAATGCCCTTTTGATAAACAATTACAGTAAAAAAAAAAATATAAGTAAATAATTATCTAGTATTATGATTTATGAACAACAAAATGTAATCATCTCAACATGGAAAAAAAGATAAAAATACATAATCCTATATAAACTAAGTACCTAGTAGAAAAATAATTTAAAACTGACAAAATACTATTCTTAAATCGATCTCGAGACATAAAAAATATCAAGCAAAATTAGCTTAAGATAACCGATAAGGCTATGGAGAAAAGAGTTACTGTTACCAAATTAGTTTTATATTAGGGTATAAAATATAATAGTGAAGATCTCGTTAAATGAACTGGAGTATGATTAGTGTAAAGTCTAACTGATGCAGTCGTCTGGAGTCGAAATCCAGCCGTCGTCAGCGACTGACTATTGATGCATCAGGTTTTCGCCGAGCTGCAGACTACAATATAATATGTCCGGACCAAAATGGCCTTTGACGACCAGACCGCGGTGTTCAATGCCAAACATCGCGGTGCAGACAACTTCTGCTGCAGGCAGCAGGCAACACACCCAGCTATACAAATATAATATATTATTAACATTTATCAGCGTCGCTGATATTTATTTTATAAATATACTTATATTTATTTTAACGTATGTAATTAATTATATTATTCGTCATTTTATTATATTAATATTAAAAAATGATGACCTTTTTTTTTTTTTTTTTGTACACTTGGGCCGGTATTTTTTAATTCCAAAGTTGGCAACCCTAATCAGCGATGACATTACGGAAGCACTCGGGACTTACCAAAATTATCAACGATATTATCATGGCTTTGGCTATTCAAAAAGGTACGTCGATATACTTAACCGGACGCACTGGGGCGACGCCCGCCGGATACAACATTGTGATGAATTTATAACATTTTTCACCAGAGAACAAAAAATGTTATCAATATAATA